GCGTTGAAAAGAGATTGGGTGTCCGCCCGCCCCCTAAATAGGACGGAAGAGGTGAAGCCACTCGATCATTGAAGTAGGAAGGCGCTCAAAGTAGATTGGAATCTGGGACTCCAGAAATACCCACTTTCAACGACCGATGGATAAATTTCCCCCCCCCCCTGGTTCGAACCAGGAGGGGGAGGGTTCGGCCCAGACCCCCGGCGTCGTGACTTTTGCCACAACGTCGAATCCCAGAGGTCTGGACCCCTTCCCCGGAACCAGTTTTTCATCCCGAGTCGTTCTTTGACGGCCCGAGGCCCAGGAATGGCTCCCAAAGGCCGAAAACAGCGAAAAACCTTTCGTCGTGATTAATTTCTAACATCGTAAGGAGAGCTGGGTTCGAGAGTATCCTTCGCGAGCCAACCTCGATCATCTACCCTGGTCCGACCGGACCCAACGACGCGGTGTGCAGCCATCCCTCGCCGACTTCTCTCCCCCGCGTCCCCACGCAGCGCCTGGTACCAGTGCTTGTACAGCTTGAGTATCCTGCCGGGTGGCGGCCCATCCAGGCTGCGATCGCGCATCGGGGGGAGGAGGAGCAGCAGCAGGGCAGGAAGGAGGAGCAGGTGGAGGAAGGAGCAGAGGGGAGGAGGGGGAGGAGGAGGAGGAGGAGGAGGAGGAGGAGGAGGAGGAGGAGGAGGAGGAGGAGACCAAGACCAAGACCAGCTCATGGAGTCCCTGCTGTCATGTGCTACTACACTCTCGCCGTGCAACAGACAGCTGTACTCTGAGGGGGAGCCCTGAAAGACTGCAGACTCCAACTTAACTGTGCAGCGGCTGCCGCACACTGCACAGGACAGTACTGGCCGATCCGGACGTCTTTGAGGCACGCAACCCCCTACGGGGCCCGACACACAGGCGCGAGCTAAGTGACATCACTCACCTCGGGCCCTCTCTTCCTCCCACGGCCTCTACCTCCTCTGCCACGGGAAAGTGGCAACTCAAACACAGGAACCTCGGGTCTGACCTCACTAGCCTGCCACGAGAACTGCCTCTCACTACTCCTCAAGACATCTGGCGGGACGAGACCCTGTCTAATTAATGCTGCTAATCGCTCACTCTGCTGCAGGTGCTGGTTACCTCTCCTACTCATGCTTCCATGCATTTCAACAACTCCCGCTCCCATTGGGCCCCGCGGAGGAGGAGGAGGAGGAGGAGGAGGAGGAGGAGGAGGAGGAGGAGGAGGAGGGACGAGACGAAGGAGCGGAGGCAAGGGAGCAAGATACAGACAAGGAGGGAGGGAGCGGGAGAGGAGTGCATGGCAGGACGACGAGAACAAGGACATGGACTGCGAGGCGGGGATATATCCATATCCACCGCCCGTGGAACAGACGACCTGGGACCCTAGCGGGCGGTGTGGACATATTGGGCCTTCCCAGGGCCCGAAGATATCCATACCCACCGCCCACCGACGCCCCCGAAGGTCGACCCCCCAGGCGGTGGTTATACATGAACGGCGCGCGGGGCCCGCCAGGGGGGCCCCAGCGCAGATCCAAGAAATCGGCGCGGAGCGCCAAAAGTTTATGCTTCTGCCGTTTGGAGAGGAAGGAGGAGCGGAAGGACCCCCGCGGGCATGCCGTGCCCCCCCCCTCCCGCGCCCGCGCCGCAGGAGCGCGAACGCCCGCGCGCGGTGCAGCAGAGAGGCGCCGGGGGCACGCGAACCCCCGCGACTCTTGCGAGAAAGGTCCGGAATGAACCCTGACCGAGTCAGGTTGGGGTAATCCTTGGGTGATCCTCCTCCCCCTCCTCGTCCTCCTCGTCCTCCTCCTCCTCCTCCTCGTCCTTCTCCTCGTCCTCGTCCTCCTCGTCCTCCTCGTCCTCCTCGTCCTCCTCCTCCTCCTCCTCCTCCTCCTCCTCCTCCTCCTCCTCCTCCTCCTCCTCCTCCTCCCCCTCCCACTCCTCCTCCCCCTCCTCCTTCCTCCTCCTCCTGCTCCTCCTGCTCCTCCTGCTCCCCTCCTCCTCTTCCTCCTCCTCCTCTTCCTCCTCCCTCCTCCTCCTCGTCCTCCCTCCTCCTCCTCCTCCTCCTCCTCCTCCTCCTCCTCCTCCTCCCTCCTCCTCCTCCCCCTCCCCCTTCCTCCTCCTCCTCCTCCTCCTCCTCCTCCTCCTCCTCCTCCTCATCCTCATCCTTATCCTCCTCCTCCTCCTCCTCCTCTCCTCCTCCTCCTCATCATCATCATCATCATCATCATCATCATCATCATCATCACATCATCATCATCATCATCTCATCATCATCACCATCACCATCACCATCACCATCACCATCACCATCATCATCATCATCATCATCATCATCATCATCATCATCATCATCATCATCATCATCATCATCATCACATCATCATCATCATCATCATCATCATCATCATCATCATCATCATCCATCATCATCATCATCATCATCATCATCATCACCATCATCATCATCATCATCATCATCTTCATCCATCATCCTCATCCT